TCTTTTTCGGCTGGCAGGGGCGGTGGGGCCTCCTGCCGGCGGGAGGCCGATGGGCGCCGCCAGGTACAGCTGGGGGAGGGGAGGGGGACAGTTGGGGCGGACTCGGGGTAGGAGGCGCCGCAGGTGCACGGGGGGAGGGACGAGAGTTGTCCGGGAGGGACGAAGCGCCGCAGCCCTGAGTCTGGGCCGTGGCGCCCCGGTGGCTTCTCGGCGCCCGGGGAGACCTTCCCCCCCCTTCCTCTCAGGCCGGGGGACGGGCGGGAAGAACCGTTCTCCGCCGGGACCCGCTGTGAGGCCTGGGTACGGGCTGTGCCTGTGGGGAAGGAGGAGTTCGCCCAGTATGTGGTTCCTGGGACGTTCCCAGGCTCCTCCAGGGCTCACTGGAAATCGCTCAGGGTCCCGGCAGCTTAAGCACAGCCCCTGCACCTATGACCTGCCCTTCCCTCCGTGTCTGTCACCTTGCACTGGGCACTAACCCGCCTCACAGGAAGCTCATGGGGGGGTGGGGGCAGGGACACTGGCGTAATTGTCCCTAAAGCACGTAGCACAGAGGCAGTGCTGAGCTCTGTGCCACTTGTCTGTGGGGCACCAATGTCATTTTGCTTCTCCTTTCACATGCCCTGCAGATGTGAGAACGTCTAGCCCAAAAAAGGAGCAGGAGTTATGAATGATGTCCCTGTGAGAGGTTTGGAATGTCCATCAAATGCCTGCACCAGTGCAGTTGCACAGAACAGCTCCTTTGAACGGCATCACTTCCAGCTGTCAAACTCAAGCCTCTGGCCTAAAGTGTTTCGACTGCATTGCCTGCCCCACGAATGGCTACCCAGCGGAAGCACTTGGTGAAAGATTTCAATCCTCATATCACCTGTTACATTTGTAAAGGATATCTTATCAAGCCCACCACAGTAACTGAGTGCCTGCATACCTGTAAGTAGTACTTTGCAAGATATTCATCCAACAAGTAATGCTTCCTTCTGATATCACCAGTCATTTTTTTAATGTGTAACATTACATGTTTAAGGATGTTCAGTTTGGATGTACACTATTACCACTGAAAATCTCAATGTGGAGTATGTTGGGCCTTAGAGTTGAAGAAGAGAGAAGTCAAATACTTCAAAGGGTTTATTATGGTTTTGGCAGTATATTCTGCTTAAAATGTCAATATAGTGTATCCAATGAATGTTTGTAATAACATGAGAACTGTTGAACTGAATTATAGGGAGGGAAGATTTTGAACTAGGCCAAGTTCTGTGAATTGGTGAGAAATTTTCTGTCTGAACTGGAAATGAGTGACTGAGGCACCTGCACAAGGTGCCTCACTTTTGAGTTTCTGCACATGGAACTGACTGCAGCTTTACAGTGTAGAGCCACCCATTTGGGAGATAGTCTCCCTGTGGAAAATTGAGTTGCTGCAATAGAATGGTGACTGTCCAAAAACAGAGACGACTGCTCCCTGAGAATTCTTTGGAATGCAGAAGAGCACTCTGGGAGATATAACACAGGAGGAATCTGTTGCAGTGAAGTATGTCCTGCTAAGCTGTGTGCCAAAAATACCAATATTCTTGTGTTAATGGAAGGCTTCCAAAACTTCTAGGGCAGTGGATTGTGTTCACTTACCAGTTCTTTAACCTTACTGAGCAATCAGAGTTCTTTTAAACCTAAATCATACAATTCTAGTAATTTTAGGCTATGATAGATCACATGGGATGCTTCTTGAATATAAATACTATATTCTCAGCACAGAAGGGCTATGAATGATGTTAATACTGTGACTTTTCAGGGACCTGGCCTATCAATTAGCTAATAAAGCCACACCCAGAGGATGCTGATGAATGGCATCTTAATCTGGGTTCTCTCTTCACTTTGAAGAGTGAGCAAGAATTCACTCTCCCTTTAGACCAGAAGTGCTTTATTAGCTTTTTATGGTGAAGTCGTAGATGCAGCTGCTCTGCTATTCTTGGGCTGGGTCTACACTGGCGCAATCTCGTGCAAAAGCAGCCACTCTTGCACAAAAACTTGCTGTCTGTCTACAGTGGCCGCGTGTTCTTGCACAAGTAAACTGACGTTCTAATGTATAAAATCAGGGCTTCTTGTGCAAGAACTCTGACGCTCCCGCGGAAGAAATCCCTATGGTTAAAATGGCCATCAGAGTTTTCTTGCGCAAGAGAGCCTCTACACTGACATGGATGCTCTTGCACAAAAGCACATGCCAGTGTAGATGCTCTCTTCTGGAGAGAACGTGTGAGTGTAGTGTGTGAAAACGTTTTTGTGTGAGAACGTGCCAGTGTAGATGTAGCCATAATGTTTAAGTATTTGGACAATAGTGGGATGTCTGTTGTACCTTTTGAGCAATAGAGACAGGGAGAACTTTCTGGGATATCTTACAAACAGTGTATAGTTCTTACAGATCTGTGTATAGTTCTACAGCCTTATAGAGTAGAACCTTCATCATGTAATGTCAGCTCAGAGACATAGAGAAGTTGAGGAAACAGGGAGTACTAGTTTTACTGTGGTTAAAAAATGCTAGTCCACACAGAAAAATTACCTGGGCCAGAATGTTCAAAATTGCTTGCTGTACATTACATAATAACAATTAATAAAGTAATAAGCCTAGGTAGGAGCTGGTGCTGGGGGGAGCCTGCTTAGAGTCAGCTTGCTCTATTACAGACAGCAGCGCAGGATGGGGGCAGGGTGGCTGCCATGAAGCAGCCTCTGCTTGCAGCAAGCCTAGGCAGATGGAGCAGCCTCTGTCTGTGGGAGCTGGGACTCTCACGGACAGGGGCTGCTGCTGCAAATCAGCCTCTGTCTACAGCAGGCCTGGGCTCGCTGTGGACAGAGGCAGCTCCGTGGCTGCTGGAGCAGCCTCTGCGGAGCAGTCAGAGGCTGCTGCCACCCCACACTGCTGCCTCTGTATTAGAGGCAGCAGTGCAGGGCGGTAGGCAGACGGTCCACGATGGGAGCTGATTTTTCAACTGGCTTACTTCTCGGACCAGCTTCTGCCTGGCACCTGAGCTGCTGCCTCTGATACAGTGGCAGAAGGGCGGGGTGACGGGACTCCCCAAGAATGGGGCTTGGGAGCACACTAGCTGCTGCCCCTGCTTCCAGGGATTATAGAATTGTCAAGTAACTACAAATATTTCATGCAGTTACTTGACTATTCAATTAACTGATAGCTAACATCCCTAATCTGAGTGTCTTTGACATAAATTATAAATACACATCAACCTGCTGAAACTACCATGTTGTTTTACCAGCACCTCTCTACAGGACTGTACCCACATCAGAATTCCTACAGATTCTCCCAGTCACTTACAAATAAACCTCAATCCCTTTCATGCCTCTCCCTCCTCTTAAGCCTAAGAAAATTCATATTACTTACAGTGTGTCCTGACTGTCAAAAAACCCATCCAGTTTTGGAACAAGATGAGTCCCTCAAGGAGGATACCCTACCACCAAAATCCCTCCATTTGTAAATAGAGGAAACTCCAGTTTGAGTGTCTCTGCTGCTTGTAATTGAGACAGCAGAATGGTCCCTTGAGTGTATACCTAAATAGAGTGGTGTGTGTAAGTGGAAGATAAGTGCCTAAGAAATTTTCAAAAGGGTGATAAAGTATGTGCAAGACTGCTCTGGATTTTGGAGAATAGTGGAATTCTACCTCGTGTGCAAGTGAATAGCTGATTAACTGTCAACTTTATTTGTGCCCTTGAACAAGTGAAGTGTTTTTAATTTTAAGCTGTCTGGCAAGGACATTGTTTTAAAAATATATTTGTTTTAAAATCGTGCATATAAAGAGGTAAAAGTTTAGTTTAATAAATTAGCTGATCAACAGAGAAGCTTTTCTGTGTGTCACCTATCTTGAGGCTTAGTTTTGAGTGAGGAAGAATGAGTAAGGTCTGGAATACCACATACTATGTGGTCCATTTGTCTCCTCTTTTGCGCCAATGAAGTGGAGGCTAGGGTAACCTCTGAGAACTGACTCCACTTTGTCTTTGAGTTTTTGGCTTGCATTCCCCTGACTTGGGCTGTATTCTGAGGGAGTCTTGTCCTATAAGAGCATATCTGTTTAAAATTTCAGAATATATAATAAAACACGTATTCAGCATAAAGTGCAATATGTACAATATAGGCAAATTACGAGACTTATACTTAGTTGTAATATGTGCTTAGATACTTTTAAATGATAATCACAAATGTATCTTAGGCCACGTTTCCACTTGCAGGATGTTCAACGCTGTGGTGGTCCATCTTCTGGTGTTCAATTTCATGGGTCTAATAAATACCCACTAATGAACGCTGAGGCCACCCATGTCAGTGCCGGTACTCTTACTCTTCACAAAGAATAAGGGAAGTCAACAAGAGTGTTTCTTCTGTCAACCTCCCACTGTGAGTACAGCACCAAAGTTCGGCTTAAAGTACCTGTATGTCAACTCCGACTACATTTTTACGAAGCTGTAATTGCATACCTTAAGCCGACCTTCCCTTGTAGTGTGGATCTGGCCTCAGAGAGGCTCTAACCCTTGAGCTGCCTTTGACATAAAGAAATGAGAAGAGTATGTAAATACAGTTGTTTGCAGTCATGTTCTAGCTGTGTTGATCCTAAGATATTAGAAAAATAAAGAGAGTGAGGTAATATCTTTTATTGGACCAGCTTCTGCTGTGGAAAGAGACAAACTTTAAAGCCTATGCAGAGCTTAAGAAGAGCTCTGGGAAAGTTCAAAAGCTTGTCTCTTGTTCCAAAAGAAGTTGAACCAATAAAGTATTGCCTCACCCACATTGTCTTTGTAAATACAGTATCAGTCATGTTGTGTTCCTTCAGTGATGATGTCTGCAGCAGCACCAACCCAGATGTTCATGACTGTTTAGCTCAGTGCAAGGGTTTAAAAGTGGAAAGAGTACCATCAGTGTTAACAATTAACCTATATTAGAAAATTTACCTGGCATTGCTTGGCCAGGAAGTTGGAAGTGTGGGTGGGTGCAGAAGTCAGGGTTGGGGAGCAAGGGGGGCTCAGGGCAGTGGATGCAGGGTGAGTGTGGGGTGCAGGAGTCAAGGTTTTGGAGTGAGGCGGGGCTCAGGGTGGGTGGTGGGAGAGACGCAAGACTCCCTAGGTGAAAGCGCTGCAGGGAGCACGGGCCCTGTGGTGTGGGGGATGCAGGAGCCAGTGGGGATCGTGCTTCCAGGTGATGGTTCCCAGGGGCTGGCCACAGCAGGGACCATACTTTCTGGGTGGTTGCTTTCTGGGTTTGGCCACGGCAAGGGCTGCACTGGCTGGTTGGGAAAGGTGCTGGCCAGAGAGCAGCTTCCCAGGGGTGGCTGTGTTGGGGGCCACACTGGCTGGGCGGGAAACTTACCTCCACTCCTACTAGGGATGTTAAATTTCGGGTAATTTACTAATCACATAGTTGATGCAATTTGTTTCTACTATTCAATTAGTCGATAGGGCGCCTCCCTAGGTGAAAGCGCTGCAGGGAGCACGGGCCCTGTGCTCCCCACGGTGTTTCAAAGTGGCAATGCTGCGTGGAGCCCATTGTCAGCTGGAGCTTCCCCACTGACTCCAAACTCTGTGTGGTCCTGCCTCTTTGAAATGTCATGGGGAGCCGGGTGTCAGGCTGCACACAGCATTTCAAAGCAGCAGTGGATCCTGGAGTCAGCTGGGGACTCTCCTGCTGACCCTGGGCTCCATGCGGTGCTCCTGTTTTAAAACACCATGGGGAGCTCAGCAGTTAAATTTCGGGTAATTTACTAATCACATAGTTGATGCAATTTGTTTCTACTATTCAATTAGTCGATAGGGCGCCTCCCTAGGTGAAAGCGCTGCAGGGAGCACGGGCCCTGTGCTCCCCACGGTGTTTCAAAGTGGCAATGCTGCGTGGAGCCCATTGTCAGCTGGAGCTTCCCCACTGACTCCAAACTCTGTGTGGTCCTGCC